AAGGCAAGGGTAAGTCTTGGCAACCCACTTGTTACCTATGCGACGGCCCTCACATGATGCGAGATTGCCCACAAAAGAAGGCCTTTAAGGCCATGGCTTTCAAGGAGGACAAGGCCGAAGAAAGTAACGATGCAACGATGGGATGCATCCATCTACTGAATGCCATCCAGACAACCCTCCCACAACCTAAGGCTCAAGTTGGGGGAGGATCATTGTTCGTCGACGTCAAAACTGGTGACAAGACGACGCGTGTGTTGGTGGACACGGGAGCAACACACAACTTCATGACGTCGGAGGAAGCCACAAGGCTTGGCCTCTGAGTCACCAAGGAGCCCGGTAGCGTGAAGACGGTAAATTTCGCTGCCACCCCCATTGTTGGAGTTGCGCGCAATGTACAAGTAGACATTGGCACATGGAAGGGAAATATCGACTTCACCGTAGTCAAGATGGATGACTATGGCGTAGTCATTGGGTTAGAGTTCATGGACAAGGTACGGGCCTTTCCCATTCCCTTCTACAATATCTTCTGTATCCTAGACGACGGAAGACAACCTTGCCTGGTGCCATTGGAAAGGCAAGCCAAGAAGTGTACCCAGCACTTGTCGGCAATTCAATTTGCCAAGTCTTGGAAGAAAGGCGAGGCCACATTTCTTGCAACTCTAATGTTGAATGAAGGGGAGGAGAAACACGGGCCTTTGCCGAAACAAGTGGAAGCCGTCCTTATGGAGTTTGCGGACGTGATGCCTAAAGAACTGCCAAAAAAGTTGCCACCAAGGAGAGAGGTCGACCATGCGATTGAGTTGGAGCCTGGTGCTAAGCCTCCCTCCAAATCACCTTATAGGATATCGCCACCCGAGTTGGAGGAATTGAGGAAGCAACTCAACGAGCTACTTGATGCTGGCTACATCCAACCCTCCAAGTCCCCATATGGTGCACCCGTCCTGTTCCAACGCAAGAAAGAAGGTAGCCTAAGGTTGTGCATCGACTATAGAGCATTGAACAAGATTACCATCAAGAACAAGTACCCACTTCCGTTGATCGCCGACTTATTCGATCAACTTGGTGAAGCAAGGTACTTCACAAAGTTAGATCTTCGATCGGGATACTACCAAGTGAGGATAGCCCCTGGAGACGAATCGAAGACGGCGATGGTGACCAGATATGGATCGTTCGAGTATAAAGTCATGCCATTTGGTCTGACCAATGCCCCCGCAACATTCTGCACATTGATGAACAAGGTATTCCATCCTTATCTTGACAAGTTTGTCGTGGTTTACATTGATGATATTGTTGTCTATAGCAAGACATTGGAGGAGCACGTCAACCACTTGCGCATAGTGTTCAAGACCCTTCGGGAGCATGAACTCTATGTCAAGAAGGAGAAATGCTCATTTGCCAAAAAAGAAGTAGAATTTCTTGGCCACAAGATAAAGGAGGGGAAACTTATGATGGAAAAGGGCAAGATCAAGGCCATTCAAGAGTGGGAACCGCCGACCAAGGTACCAACACTACGATCATTTCTGGGGCTAGCCAACTACTATCGGAGATTCATTAAAGGGTACTCAGCCATAGCGGCACCCTTAACAGACCTTCTTAAGAAGAATAAGGCATGGGAATGGACGGACCGTTGTCAAGAGGCCTTTGAGAGGTTGAAGAAGGCCCTAATGGAGGAGCCTGTACTAAGGTTGCCCGACCTTAGCAAGCCATTCGAGTTGCACACTGATGCTTCCGACTTTGCCATAGGAGGAGTGTTGATGCAAGAGGGACATCCGATAACTTATGAAAGTCGCAAGCTAAACAATGCTGAGAAGAGGTACACGACCCATGAAAAGGAGATGACCGCCATCGTCCATTGCCTTAGAGTTTGGAGGCATTACTTGCTTGGTACCCCATTCATCATCAAGACGGACAACGTTGCCACTAGCTACTTTCAAACCCAACAAAAGCTCACACCTAAGCAAGCAAGGTGGCAAAAGTTCTTAGCAGAGTTTGATTACAAGCTAGAGTACAAGCAAGGAAAGGAGAACGTGGTGGCCGATGCTCTAAGTAGACGAGTAGAGTTAATGGCTACGGTACTCAAGCCGCAAAGCCATCTCTTGGGCCGTGTCCGAGAAGGTTTATCACATGACGTCCAAGCCAAGAACATTGTGGAGTTTGTCAAGGATGGGAAGACAAGAAGGTTTTGGCTTGAGGACGGCTTGCTATACACCAAGGGCAAGCGGATCTACATCCCAAAGTGGGGGAGCTTGAGGAAAGAAATCCTTAAGGAATGCCATGACTCAATGTGGGCAGGACATCCTGGCACTCACCGCACGTTGGCTTTGGTGAGCGATGCTTACTATTGGCCACAAATGTGGGATGATGTAGATTCATACGTGAAGACTTGTCTTGTGTGCCAACAAGACAAAATGGAACAAATGCAACCGGGATGACTGTTGGAACCACTTCCCACCCCATCAAGACCATGGGAGTGTTTAACCATGGATTTCATCACACATTTGCCCAAGTCTGATGGATGTGGATCTATCTTCGTCGTGGTCGATAGATTCACCAAGTATGCCACTTTCATACCCGCACCTGTGGAGTGCACAGCCGAAGTAGCTGCACGTTTGTTTCTAAAGCACGTGGTGAAGTATTGGGGTGTTCCGAGGAGCATAGTCAGCAATCGAGATGCTCGCTTCACGGGTAGATTTTGGAAGGAGCTCTTCAAGCTACTTGGCTCAAAGTTAGACTTCTCCACAACTTTTCATCCCCAAACTGATGGACAAACGGAGCGGGTTAATGCATTGTTGGAGACTTATTTGCGGCACTATGTTAGTGTCAATCAACGAGATTGGGCTAAGTTACTTGATGTTGCCCAATTCTCTTATAACTTGCAACGTTCGGAGTCGACGGGGAAAAGTCCGTTCGAGTTGGCTATAGGGCAACAACCCTTGACCCCGAACACGGTCGTGACTGGCTACACTGGAATAGTCCAGCCGCTTTCAAAACCGCTAAGAAGTGGCAATTAGCCCACGAACTTGCTCGAGCTCACTTGGAGAAGGCTTCAAAGAAGATGAAGAAATGGGCGGATCGTAAGCGAAGGAATGTGGAGTTCCAAACTGGCGACCAAGTCTTTGTGAAGCTCAATGCGTCTCAGCACAAGAGTACTCGTGGCTTGCACAAGAGCTTGTTGCGGAAATATGAGGGACCATTCCTTATCATCAAGAAAGTTGGCAAAGCCGCGTATGTTGTGGAACTCCCACCCCGCCTTAAGTTTCACCCGGTGTTCCATGTGAGCAACTTGAAGCCTTATCATGCAGGCGATGAGGAACCAAGCCAAGGTGAGTCTCATCGAGCACCCCCTTTGATGACAGAGGCATTTGACAAAGAAGTGGAGAGCATTGAAGCCAAGTGTGTCGTGGTGCGACCAAGACAACCAAAGCATGTGGAGTACTTTGTCAAATGGAAGGGGCTACCATACTCCGAAGCAACATGGGAGAAGGAGACGTCCTTATGGCAATATAAGGACCTGATTAATACATTCGAGAGGCAAGAGTCGACGAGGACGTCGACGGCTTAAGTGGGGGAGGATGTCACGGGCTGCATGTTAAAAACAAAGAAAATGCCCAAGACACCATATATCTAAGCCCATAAAGCCTTGTCTTCATGGAAGCTTCTGGAACATCCCGGAAAAATCAAGAACATGGCGGAGCGTTCAAGATAATCTAGGGCATTCCGGAACATTCCACACAAGTGTACAAATTCAAGCCTCACCTAGAACAATCTAGATTAGGCAAGTTGTATCTAGAACTATACTAGATATTTTTGGATGTAAGTAGGGAATTCTAGAACCCTCCATTGAGGAGGTGACTTAGGCCTATAAATAGGAGGTAAGGCCATTTGGCCAAACCATCCAAGAATTGTCAGCAATTGTAAAGTTATCCTAAGTTTCAATACAAAGCTTCCTTTCTCCCATCTTCTAAGTGATTTTAGCATTCTCCAAGCTATCTTAGCTTTCTTTGTGATTCGATCCGGGGAAGCGAGGCTTCGAAGGCTTACTTAGCTTGTTCATCGAGGTATTCAAGTCTAAGTGCCGCACGGGCGGAAGGCTTAAAGAGTCATCCCGTGACACTTGGAACCCTCCCAAACCTCAGAGCCGCACAAGGTTTATGTGCATTTTCCCTCCAACCCATCTTGCTGCACGTTAAACCAAATTTAAAAAAAAAAAGAGTTTTTGAACCGTTAGAGAAAAAACAAATATTTAACAAGAAAAAAAAATGAAATTGTACTTGTTCAATTTTCGTCAGGGCAGATAAAACAATGGAGCTGGATCCTCTCCGAGGCAAACCCTCGGGATCCTGCTGAGCAACAAACACGGGCCGTTGGATGTCGATCCAACGACTACAATTATTATAACTTTAAGAGAGGCCCTCCTGTTTGTAGCCGTTGGATCGAAATCCAACGGCCCGTGTTTGTCGCTCAGTAGGATTCCGAGGGTTTGCCTCAGAGAGGATCCAGTCCTAAAACAACACCACCCAAAATGTGCTTGTGAAAAATGAAAAATGTTAAGGAGATTATATTTTTGTACCACTTTAGTATACGATCTTATGTGGCAAATGATGTGTATATGCCACATCAGTTAATGAATCTATTTGATTATATATTAGTTGTATTTATCAGTTATCATGTCAGATGGTACAAAAATGTGATTACCCTAGCATTACTTTGTGAAAAAACCAATCAAATGAAGAAAAAGAAGCTACTTTTGTCATCATATAATAGAAAGAATAGAAAAAACAAGAGTGGAGGGTTGCGTTTACCGGATTCTATTGTTGCTGTTTGTGTTTGTGTTTGGGGTTACAAAATTAATTTTTTCTTTTTCATTTATTTAAGAGCAAATTTAAAAGTTTGGTAGATAAATTTTTCTGTTTAGGTATAGAAATAAGAAAGATCTTCATGCTACACATGGACCTGCCCTTGTAGGCCTTAATTTTGGACTATTGGCCCTCACTCGCAAAAGTGGAACAAATACTCCTACGGCGCCGTTTCATGACCTATATGAGATTGTACCGTACGTTTGCCCTTTTACCGCCAAGTCCTTGTCCGACCCGCATTACGCTCCGAAAGTCATCTCACCTCCTCGGCCCCAAATTCCTGCAGGTAAATCGCACCTCATTGTATTCCTCGTTAATTTCTCTTGTTTTGCGTTTGGTTGCTGAGAAAATAGATAAAGAGAAAGAAAAACGTGGTCTTTCGTTTGCGTTTTGTTTATCAGATAGCGTGGGTAATAGACGTTACTAAATTCCGTGTGGAGGATTTTACGAGGAATTCGAGGAGTCGGCGGCTTTTGGAACTTGGGCTCAGAGACGGCCAAGGTGAGGTAGCAGCTGAGGAGTATTCTCATATCCCGGCAACCCCAGACGACGTCGTTCCTGGAACTAAGGTATTTTCTGGTATAGATTAAACTCGCCCACTACATTTATAATGAATTTGGAAATTTTAGGTCACGACTTACAGTTTATGGCTCCAAACTGTTTGTCACGAAATTGATTATTTGATTGGTGGTGTTTTGGTATTAAGAGGATGAACAGATTCGTGCTCTAGATCAGGGCAAAAGCTTGCCGTGAGAAATTGAGGAGGGAGAGATTTAATGACTGGTATGTGTCCAATCTCAAATTATATTTTTTTACATTTTTTGAAGAATTGGGTTGTTATGTAATGATGAAATGAATGGTGGTTTTCTGTTGAATTTTACTGTTTTGCAATTTGGGATTTTGGTGTGGGTTGTAAATTTTGAATTTTTTTTTTTATGCGGATGATTGAATTTCTCTTGCTACAAAAACTAATGAATTGAGACTGAAACATAAGAAGTTGCCATCAAGTGCTTATGTTTTAGTATAATTTCACTTCTATGATTCCAAAGTGTTTCCCCCAATCCAGTTTTGTCTTTTCAGATTAATACAATGCCACAACCCATGCAGAAGAATATAGCTGAGTGAGCAACTTTTGTTTTTAATACTGTGTTTTGAAAAAATTTTGACGAAAGAAAAGATCGAAGCAACTGAACATGGGCTGGGGTTTGCAATTGGTTTTCAAGTAAGGGATGTAATAAGCACTCATAAAGTGGGAACAGTCGAAGTTGACCCTTTTTAGAATAAGTGGCACTTGGCGGTTATAGAACTGAGGAGTGAAATTGCAGAGCGCATGTATATTTATCCTTCTTAAGTGTTGTTTTTGGATCGAACACAATTTCATGTACAATTCATATTTTTGCTTTTCGTTTTTTCAGTTTGTGTTCTGTTCATGGTTAAGAAGACATGAATCACATGTATGTAAATTTTGCATATCACGTATATACTTAGAACTTTTGACGTGTTTTTTATGATTTTAAAACCCACAGCATTGCACAGGCACCATCACTAGTAGAAACTAAAACTGTAAAAAAAGCTCATGAACACATCAGTCAGAATGGAAGGTAAGTGGAGAAAATTTCCGAGATATTCTATTGAGCAATCCATTTATGAGCCTTGCAAATGAGCTTTTTGATCTTACCAGGAACAGCTCTACAATCTTAAACAACTTCCGTCTACAGTTTTGGAGAATCCGACAGGAGACCATTTTTTGATTGCGCAAACGAGTTCATCAATTGCAAGGGTAGTAGAAAATGTAATAAATCTTCTAGTAAATGTACAATCAATCTTCAGTTAACCTATCAGGGCAAGTCAAGATTAATGAAAAGGTAGTAGAAACCATTGACTGGCATCTTCCGGCTATCATTGATTTTCTTTCTAACCTTAAAAGTAAATTCCTGGGATATGTGGTGGAAGCATGGCAAGTATTTGTGCAAATTCGAGTAGTATTTGTCAAATATTTGGATGAATGGCTTGTATTGATTGTTGTAATGTTGAAATGTTTCTAGATGCAATATATCTTCAAAATTCAAAACAACTACTTTTTGAACAAATCATGGACCTGCATGCGCACGATAGGAAGGCAATTAGAACTTAGGAGAGAGAGAAAAAGAAATACATGTATGATGTTCTTGCCAAAATCAGCTGTGAGATTGGTAAACCTCTTCATATCAATCCATGTCATGGGGTTTAATAACTGATCGGGGTGCGGAGCCTCGGCGAGTTTGGGTGAATCGCTTAACCTCAATGTTTCAAGCTTTGAAAGGCCATTGAGGCTGTGTAGGGTATGAAAATCATTCCCTCCAAGACAAATATTGTAAAGAAATTAGACTCCCAAGATCCTTAGGCATTGCATCGTCAGGTTTGCACCACGAGAGATTTAATTCCCTTAAAGAGTTTAAGCCATGTAATGAATGGGGCAAAGGAATAGGCAGAGTTCTCCGTAGAGATAAACGAGTGAGATTCTTCGACCCTATTATGGAAGGTGGTACTTGTCTTATGGCTGTATGCTCTGCTTCAAGAACCCCAAAGAACCTCAAACGCCAATATCCGATTCATAAGAAATCTGATATCCGATTCTTTAACTTTTATTACAACCGTCATCTATAAAATTTGAACTCAGAACCTCTTTGATAGAGTGGGGACCCCATCTCCAGATTAAAGATGACAAATTCAAGTGCAGCAACAACATAGTACATCTAAACAGCACTCACAAGTCTCATAGCAGCTGAAACAACAAGAAGCTGCAAACAAACTGCACCGAAATTCACAGATCACAAAATGAAATTCACAGATCAACCGGAGACATTTCTTGGTACCACGATGGTGCATACATTTTCTCTTCTTCCTCCTCCCACCACAAATTAAGAAACAGATAAAGACTACAACAACAACAACAACAACAAAGCCTTTTCCCACTAGTGGGGTCGGCTATATGAATCCTAGAACGCCATTGCGCTCGGTTTTGTGTCATGTCCTCCGTTAGATCCAAGTACTCTAAGTCTTTTCTTAGAGTCTCTTCCAAAGTTTTCCTAGGTCTTCCTCTACCCCTTCGGCCCTGAACCTCTGTCCCGTAGTCACATCTTCGAACCGGAGCGTCAGTCGGCCTTCTTTGCACATGTCCAAATCACCAGAGCCGATTTTCTCTCATCTTTCCTACAATTTCGGCTACTCCTACTTTACCTCGGATATCCTCATTCCCAATCTTATCCTTTCTCGTGTGCCCACACATCCCATGAAGCATCCTCATCTCCGCTACACCCATTTTGTGTACGTGTTGATGCTTCACCACCCAACATTCTCTGCCATACACACCATCGCTGGCCTTATTGTCGTCCTATAAAATTTTCCCTTGAGCTTCAGTGGCCTACGACGGTCACACAACACGCCGGATGCACTCTTTCCATCCAGCTCGTATTCTATGGTTGAGATCTCCATCTAATTCTCCGTTCTCTTGCAAGATAGATCCTAGGTAACGAAAACGGTCGCTTTTTGTGATCTTCGCTAGATTGCTCCGGTCATTAGTGTGGATAAGTATATAAATGGATAGAGATAGGAAAGCAAACACAAGATGTACGTGGTTCACCCAGATTGGCTACGTCCACGGAATAGAAGAGTTCTCATTAATTGTGAAGGGTTTACACAAGTACATAGGTTCAAGCTCTCCTTTAGTGAGTACGAGTGAATGATTTAGTACAAATGACATTAGGAAATATTGTGGGAGAATGATCTCGTAATCACGAAACTTCTAAGTATCGGAGTGTGGTGTCGTCTTGACTTGCCTTATCTGTCTCATAGGTAGATGTGGCATCTTCTCTGGAAGTACTCTTCCTCCATCCAGGGGTGGTATCTTTAACTGGTGGAGATGCACAAGGTAATGTATCAATTTCACTTGAAGCTTACTTGTAGTTTCAGGCTTGGTCAAGCGCGATACAAACCATGTAGTAGGAGTCCCCCAAGTCGCCGAGCTAGGGGGGTCTGCTGAAAGAGGTGACAGACAAGGTAAGCAATCAGAGCTCCGACTGATTGTTCACCTTCTCCCCATCTTGCAGCAGCAGCATGAAGGATAAAGAGAAGAAAAAATGAGAAAGAGATGATATGAGATACTTTTGCTTTTGAAGAAGTAACTTTCCACAGGCTTATTCTTGAACTGAGCTGGAGGGTTTTCTGGTTTCCTCCAGAGTATAAGGCCGACTGAAGAATTTGAGGGTCAAAACAAGTCCATCAAATCTAGAGTACGTTCCACCCTGCTGATATGGGATACTTTTGCTTTTGACAGAGTCATGGATGTATCGGCACGTGTGCTGTTACGCTTGTCTCCACATGCTTCCTTGTATCCTTCGCACTTGCCCTATCTGTTCCTTAAGCAGATGCGGAATCTTCCCTGGAAACATAAGATGTTGAAGATGAGTACTCGAGAGCAATGCCAGGTAAGTAATCAGGTAAGGGGTTCCAGGTAGTCAGTTCCTGGCTGGAAGCTTGATTCCAAGTGCTGACTGATTGCTCTCTTTCTCCTTGTCTTGCAGGTAAAAACAAGGCCAAAAGAAAAAACAGGGAAAAAGCATGATATGGGATACTCTTGCTTTTAACCCTGATGATATGAGATATTCTTGCTCTAGTATAGCTTGTTTGCAGAGGTATTATCGGGGGGAAAGAAAGCTGAATATTTCGAAAGGCTTTGTTGGGAGTGCCCTCTCAGATATGATGAAGGGTTGAGCATTTTTGCAGGTCTGCCTGTCCGTTGGGGATGGAGGTCGACATATATAGGAGTCTCCCTAACAACAAGTAGTAATGCTATTCCTTTACCCTGCTTGGTCATAGCACGGTAGTGGGAGCTGCCAGTTTCACATGTTTTAACTCTGTCAGAGCACTTTGAAAAAGTGGTCTGTGGTATCTGGCTCTCGAGATTCGGAGAACAATGCCTCTTCGATTTTTGAGAAAGCAATCATGTTGGGGGTCTGACTCTCGAGATTCGGAGAGCAGTGTCTCTTCGATTTTTGAAGAAGTAATCATGTTGGGAGTCTGGCTCTCAAGATTCGGAGGGCGGTGCCTCTTCGATTTTGGAGCAAGCAATCTTGTTGGGAGTGTTGTCTCGAATGTGAGTAAAGGTTGGACATGTTTGCTAGTCTACCTTGCCACGAAGCACAAAGGTTGACACACAGGGACTTTCCAATTATCCAGCAATGGTACTGTTCCTTTACCCTCTCTTCGATTTTGAGAAAGTAGTCATGTTGGGAGTCTGGCTCTCGAGATTCGGAGGACGGTGCCTCTTCGATTTTGGAGCAAGCAATCTTATTGGGAGGGTTTTCTCGAATGTGAGTAAAGGTTGGGCATGTTTGCTAGTCTACCTTGCCACGAAGCACAGAGGTTGACACACAGAGACTTTCCAATTATCCAGCAGTGGTACTGTTCCTTTACCCTTGTGGGTAATAATATGGTAGCTAGACCTTCAAAATTTATGTGTCTAAACTTTGTTAGTGCTGTTTCTTTGCTATTCTTTTACCTTTTTTGGTCAGAGCGATGTAGTGGGAGCTGCAAGCTTCACGTGCTCAACTTTGGCAGAGAACTTTGGCAAAGTGATCTGTGGTACCCATGAGTTATTGTTGCGTGTGGGAAGTGGGTGATTGAACAGTAAGATTCATGTGCTTTCTACTTCACCAGAAGTCTTCGACAGAATGCCCATAATTTCTGCAAAGCTGAGTGTGCGTGTGACAGGTGCTGACAAGGCTAGAAAAGTAGGTGCCTCTTCGATTTCTGAGATCGGCCCTCGTGGTCTCTGAGCAGCCCAGCTTTTGAGAAAGCGAGCGTCTCTTCGATTGATTCGGAGAACGGTGCCTCACCGATTTTTGAGAAAGCAATCATGCTGGGGGTCTGGCTCTAGAGATTCGGGGAGCAGTGTCTCTTCGATTTTTGAGAAAGTAATCATGTTGGGAGAGTGGCTCTCGAGATTCGGAGGGCGGTGCCTCTTCGATTTTGGAGCAAGCAATCTTGTTGGGAGTGTTTTCTCGAATGTGAGTAAAGGTTGGGCATGTTTGCTAGTCTACCTTGCCACGAAGCACAGAGGTTGACACACAGAGACTTTCCAATTATCCAGCAATGGTACTGTTCCTTTACCCTCTCTTCGATTTTTAAGAAAGTAGTCATGTTGGGAGTCTGGCTCTTTAGATTCGGAGGACGGTGCCTCTTCGATTTTGGAGCAAGCAATCTTATTGGGAGTGTTTTCTCGAATGTGAGTAAAGGTTGGGCATGTTTGCTAGTCTACCTTGCCACGAAGCACAGAGGTTGACATACATGGACTTTCCAATTATCCAGCAGTGGTACTGTTCCTTTACCCTTGTGGGTAATAATATGGTAGCTAGACCTTCAAAATTTATGGGTCTAAACTTTGTTAGTGCTGTTTCTTTGCTATTCTTTTACCCTTCTTGGTCAGAGCGATGTAGTGGGAGCTGCAAGCTTCACGTGCTCAACTTTGGCAGAGAACTTTGGCAAAGTTATCTGTGGTACCCATGAGCTATTGTTGCGTGTGGGAAGTGGGTGATTGAACAGTAAGATTCATGTGTTTTCTACTTCCACAGAAGTCTTTGACAGAATGCCCATAATTTCCGCAAAGCTGAGTGTGCGTGTGACAGGTGCTGACAAGGCTGGAAAAGTAGGTGCCTCTTCGATTTCTGAGATCGGCCCTCGTGGTCTCTAGGGAGCCCATCTTTTGAGAAAGCGAGCGCCTCTTCGATTTCTGAGATCGGCCTTCGTGGTCTTTGAGCAGCCCAACTTTTGAGAAAGCAAACGGCTCTTCGATTTCTGAGATCAACCCTCGTGATCTCTAAGCAGCCCAACTTTTGAGAAAGCAAACGCCTCTTCGATTTCTGAGCAGGCGCCTCTTTGATTTCTGAAGCTCCGTCGAGTGCAGATTTTTATAGGGGCTGGCATTAAGTTCCAAAGCACACTTGAATCTCCACCAGTAGAAGCTTCATTCTTGCACTTCTAAGATCTTGATTTGTCCGACCTCTTCTCTCTTCAACACCTTTGAAAATGTCTGGCCCCTCCGACCGTCGTTTTGACTTGAACCTTGTTGAAGAGGCAGCCCCGCCTTCTCCAGACAACATATGGCGCCCATCCTTCGTCTCCCCAACTGGTCCTCTTACCGTTGGGGATTCCGTGATGAAGAATGATATGACCGCTGCGGTGGTGGCCAGGAACCTTCTCACTCCCAAAGATAACAGACTACTTTCCAAACGGTCTGATGAGTTAGCTGTTAAGGATTCGCTGGCTCTCTCAGTGTTCAGTGTGCAGGTTCTGTGTCTAATATGGCCCAACGCCTATTTGCTCGAACCCGCCAAGTTGAATCATTGGCGGCTGAAGTGATGAGTCTCAAACAGGAGATTAGAGGGCTCAAGCATGAGAATAAACAGTTGCACCGGCTCGCACATGACTATGCTACAAACATGAAGAGGAAGCTTGACCAGATGAAGGAAACTGATGGTCAGGTTTTACTTGATCATCAGAGATTTGTGGGTTTGTTCCAAAGGCATTTATTGCCTTCGTCTTCTGGGGCTGTACCGCGTAATGAAGCTCCAAATGATCAACCTCTGATGCCTCCTCCTTCTAGGGTTCTGTCCAGTACTGAGGCTCCAAATGATCCCCCTCCGGTGCCTTCTCTTTCTGGGGCTCTACCGACTGCTGAGACTTCTCCTAAGTAACCTTTGTGAAGGCTCCCTCTTGTGTGTTTATTTTGACTCATGTATATGTACATATTTGTAGCTTATCGGGGATATCAATAAATAAGCTTTCCTTCATTTCAACGTATTGTGTTAAATACACCAAAGCCTTCTTCGCTAAGTTCTTTGAATTTTCTTTTGTTGAAGCTTGTATGTTGAAGCTTTCTGAGTGGAGCATGTAGGTTGGGGTAGTGTTCCCTTAATTTCCCGAGTGAGGAAAACTTCTTGGTTGGAGACTTGGAAAATCCAAGAAACAGATAAAGACTGAGTGCTGATTTTTCTGTGCAACTCTTTTTTTTTTAGGCTTACAAATTTGATAGAAATACTGAATGATAAAAGCTGTGTGTGATATGCAACCACTCAGATTTAGTATTAAATGTATCCACCAATCATTTTTATGAGCTTCCATTACCCAAAAAGTGGGCAGTCTAACTCCTGATAACCTAATCTTCGATTTAGAATTCACATTCTCAGCACTCCCTTCTGTGTGGGGTCATTTAAGCCTAACACATAACAACACAATTGGGTAACGTGAGAGCAAGCAAGATGTGGCTCAACACGTGAGTAACATGCTCTGGTACCATAAAAAAGTTGAGGTATAGAAACCAATTGGTAATATTAGAGGTAGCCGAACTTTTTATGAGGACATGCAAGATCCTTAGTTCTCCAACGTGAAATTTACATTCTCAATATCATACATATAAACATACATACATACATGTTTATGTGCACGCGCGCGCACACACATATATATATAAAATACACACACACATAGGTGTGAATATACGTATACACATGTGGGTACATACGTGCAGGCCATGTGAGGTCACCGTCCAAATGAAGATGAGAAGTCAAATTCCAATGGCATGAGTGGCATGAGTCATGACACCATCGTCAGGGCTTTCCCATGATTCATGTTCACAAGAAATCACTGGTTTCTTTATTAATATTAAGAAGAGACGACCACACCTACTCTCTTTTTATTCTTCCATGTATTACAGTTGTATGATTCCAACATGGGTTAGCAGACAGAAAAATATGGGTAACGCAGTCCAACCACGTTATCCACAAAGCACTTCTCAAAATATCAAGGGATGACGTATAATTTGGTTTTACTCAATTACATTGATCCTCAACCAGTGCGGGAGTTGCTAGTCAGACAGTTGTATTGAAATTTCGGCCGTTTGTATGTGATCTTGTTCTATGTGAGTTATATCCTAATCAGTCAGCGTACCAAAATTTCTCAAGTACGTAGATAGACTTTTTTTGGCAGAAAAAATAACTTTAAACTCAAAATTTATCAACACAAGCAAGACCAAAACATCGACATAATAACCCATAATCAAACGCCGCTGCAAACAGGCGCTAAAAGAATGCAGGGGAGTTCCGACGCCGCAATCGAAACCCTAAGAACTTGAGGGGGGTACTTCGGCGATCTCGAACAAGTGAAGGCGATGATCCTGATCCACTCCGCCTTGTCCGGCGACACGCGTACGGTGGTGGAATTCAGTGGAAGCCGAGCTCACCAACATGGACCTCAAATCCATCTCCGCCAGCTCCTTGCTCGACCCGCGTACGCTCCGAATGTCCTCTCACCTCCTCAGCCCCAAAGTCCTCCAGGTAAATCACACCTCTCGTTTTCTGTTATGAACTTAGGATTGTGATTATCTTAATCACAAATTAAGAGTCAAGTTAGTCGTAATTGAGGGTTTTACTTGTTATTAAGAGCACTTGCTCTTTGGTTTGAAAAGAGATCAGAATTTTAGAAAGAAATCAAAATACAAAAAATATATTGGAGCTTGCTCCTTCTCTCCTTCCCTCTTCTTCCATAGCTTTCTTGTGCTACTTGCAGGTTGATTAAGAGAATTGAGAATTGGGTCGTTTTCGGTTTGGTTGCTGAGAAAATAGAAAAAGAGAGAAAAAATATGGTCCTTCGTTGCCTTTTTTTTTAATTTTTATATCAGATAGCTTGAGCAAGAGACGTTATAACAGCAGTGTGTAGGATTTTGCGAGGAATTCGACTTTTGAAACTTGGGCTCACAGACGGCCGCAGTGAGGTAGTTGCTGTGAAGGACTCTCATATCCCGGCAATCCCTGGCGACTTCTTTCCTAGAACTAAGGTACTTTCTGCTACTTCGTGCTTGCTCAATGCTCGGCTTGTGCTTTATATGTAAATGAGTTGGAGATTTCTTTGATTAATCACTTTTTGGTTTTTGAATATGTTCAGCTGAGTATTCAAACTAGTATGAAATTGAGCTAGATTATGGAAAATTGGATAATACCGCATTAAGAAACCAACACTTTTGTAGAACTTAATGATGAACACTGTGTGCTTTGTCACTGAAAATCTTCGAGTTAATTGAACATCTTTTGTTTGTCTTACTTTTGGATTGGCAGGTTCGTCTGGAAGGTAAAGCTACTGTACTGAACGGAATGGTATGTTTGAGTCCTAAAATCGTGACAGTGTTAGGAGGTGTTGTTCAACCACTTTACGAAGATTGGCAGATGAATAAAAAATATTCCGGGTTTTCACCTTCATCTTTAAGGCTTTAAAGATATGTAAAATCGTATAAAACATGTAGAAAGTTATCAATATATGTAAGATAGACAATACTATTTACATACATGTGGAAATCTAAGGAGGGAATGAACTGCTTATTGCAAAAAGTATTTTAGTAACCTTTATACAACAAATTAGTTCACCAATCAACCTTTCAAAAATTAGTTTCAGTACAAAAGCATGTGATCTCACATCCCTGGTTGCTAATCCCCAAATGGAAGGGTGTTCTCTAGACAAACCTTACAGAGAAACGAGTGAGTTTCTTCAATCTTGCTATGGAAGTTGGTATATGTCTTATGGCTGTATCCTCTGCTTCAAGTATTTCCAGTGATTCCATCTCCCCTAAATCCTCATGCAGTTCTCCGAATTTCGGACAATTATTAAGACAAAGAGTCCTAACAGATTTGGACTTATAGAAATCACTTGGAAGAGAACTAAGACTGTAACAGTTTCTAAGGTTTACCAAAGAGAGATTTTTAAGCTGTCCAATGAAGGGGTGAATCTCGGACAAACTAGCACAATTTTCCAATATCAACTCTTTAAGATCTGGGACCTTTGAAAAGTCTGGTGATTCTATTAAGGAATAGGAATGACTGAGATTCATGATTTTCAACCTCCGAAGCGACTGTTGCAAAAAACCAAAGGAAAAGTGAAATTAATATTCAAAATGAAGATCTCATTAAAAAAAAAAAAAAAAAAAAAAAAAGAAGAGAGAAGGAAATCAAAACGACAAAGAGAAACAGAACATCAACATGCGGGATTGATTGTACCTGGGAACCCTTCCAAACTTGTACCAGTTGGCTAAACCGCATATCTATACAAACTAGTTTGTCTTGACGAAAAAAGTCATCTGGTATGGACTTCAAATGACATCTATACCAGCGCAACCACTTTAACTCTTTGGAAAGATATTTGTATTCTCCATCTAGTTTTACGTGGTATAGCTGGAGAAATTTCAATTTCTTCATATTGGCAAATGCTACTGTACTGAAACTATCATTGTTCGAGCTCTGCAAATCAATAATTAGTGCGACAATTTCTTCAGATTCCTGTTAAAGAAAAGGTTATATGGAGTAAGAAAAGGATAATCTGCATATGTTTTGACGTGATTTTGCCTAATTGAGCTTCTTAATGAAAATGCGTATATCTACACGTGAATATTGTTTAATTTATAATAGACATACGTAGGTTACATATATGCTTTTCTTGTACGATGCATTAATCCAAAATTTTACTAGGAATGTACTTACAGATTTATTTGTCAATACATCTGTGACCTCTTGAAGATTCCTCAGCCTACTCCATTTTCTAGGATGACTGGGGGATTTTTCAGAAATGATTACTCCAGCCATTTCTCGAATCAAATCATGCATATTCAACACGTTGCGTTCAATAGTTACAAGGCATCGTTCGCAAAGGATACTAATATCTATTATTCCATCTAATACTTTTGCGACGTATTCCTTATTCCATCCAATAAAGAAACAAGATATGTCAAGGAATATAGCCTTTTGTTTTTCCGTTAGCCCTTGGAAGCTTATTTTTAGTTGTTCTATTATTTCTCCATCAGGATCCAATGTCTCCAGTTGACTTTCCCACTCTTCTATGGGTCTTTTTAACAACAAAGAACCTAAAGTTTTAAGGGCTAATGGCAAACCTTTACAGTATGAAACAAACTTTTCTGAGATTTGAAGATATCCTTCGTCAGGCCAATTATTTCCAAAAGCATGCCAACTAAAGAGCTTCAAAGCTTCTCCATCATTCAATTTCTGAACCTCATATATCTCATCCACTTTCTTTAGTAAATGTTTATCTCGTGTCGTTATGATAATTCTACTTCCTGGACCAAACCAATCCTGATTTCCAGCTATTGCATTGAGTTGGTCCCCTTTATCTACGTTGTCCATGATGAGAAGTACCCTTCTATGTTGAAATTCTTGTTTTATCAGTTCAATACCTTCACCAACACTTCTTATTTGACGCTTACTTTTCAAGATGGCAGAAACAAGTTTTTTTTGCAAATAAACTAGACCATGTTTACTTGTAGCGTCTCTAATGTCATCAAGGAAAATTTTGGATTGGAACTCACCATGAATTTGGTTATAAATGGCTTTGGCGGCTGTTGTTTTACCCCATCCACCCATCCCCCAAATTCCAACCATGACAACTTTATTTGATCCACCACCTGAAAGATGATTGATAATACGTAGAATGCGAGATTTGATTTCAATTGGGTGCTCGGCCACATTTAGTTCATTTGTTCTCGGAAGCCATTTCATAATAATCTCCTCAATAATTTTTCTAATAACCTCTGCTTCCCGCCTGAAAATTAAATTCTTAAGCATTAGTGGGACTCCATGAAAGCTCAGTAGGAGCTATCAGTACATAAACAATTTCCTTTCCTGTATATATATAATAACTAGCCACTACCTACCACCTAGTATATGTGATTTTGTGACCAACTTGAATAAAAGAAAGAAAGTCATTCGTTGATATATAAAAGTTAGGTGTATTAGTTAAAACTCCAATTACGGTTTAGGTTTTGTATGAGAGATTAAGGTTTATTAATTAAGCATGTTAATTAATGTTTAGCTTCTGTAAAAATGTTAATAAATAAAGCATTAAGTCATTCACTAAAATGTTCCAAATCTTGAAAAGCAGGTGAATGATTACCTATTGTCAGTAATTCGAAGATGGTGGCCGGACAAATTTCCAGCTCTTGTAAGAGCCTCTCTCCACTGATTTGCTTGTTTTTGTTTAGCTTCACGTTTCTTGTCATCTTGTTCTTCACAGATGTCTTTTTCGTGTTTCTGAAATGCTTCGGCTAAATCTCCGTCCTGCTTCCTGACATGCGAAGGATCAACGTGATAGAATATTGGCAAAACATGTCGACCCAGTTTGGATTTGCACTCCATAATCTTCACCAGCTCGTTAAGACACCAACTCGAATCCGCATACATCTTTGAGAAGACAATGATAGAGATCCTCGACTCTTCGATTGCCCGGAACAGTTGCTCTTTTATATCTTCCCCTCTTTCTAGATCGTCTTCATCCATATAAGCCTGGAATCCCCGGTCTTTTAAAGTCGCGTGGAGGTTGCCCGTGAAGCCATGGCGCGTGTCTTCGCCACTGAAGCTCAAGAACACGTCGTAATTCCAAAGTTTTGACTCGGAGGAGGATGAAGAGGAGGCTTCATGGGCCGTCATGACGGTATCCACCGTAATGGCGTTGCAGTGGTTAAGATCACGACGGAAAAAATGGCAGTGGCTGTGTTTGTGTTGCCGAACCGATGATACTGAAATACCAAAAGCCAAGACAACCTTTCTTCAGTCCGCACAGTCATCCATAATAATTAATAGGGGTTAGTGGAGTTTAATCCTTCGTTGAGATCAACTTTTCAAAAAAACCTGGTGTGAGATAAAAAATTTAAATTAGTCCCTTGACTGGATGTCCACCTCATGATTAACGTTAAAACTCATATTTCATTGGATTTAATGTCTTTATGTGTATTTAAGTTCCTAAAATAACCCCGCAATTAATATTTGATTTGAGTGCCTCATTTCCTCCTATAAAAGATAACTACATCTAAAATAATTGAGATACCAATTAACAAATTCAGGTACATATCAAATAAGAAAACGAAATTATTGATTAAAATTCAAAAAGTTTCATATCACAATGAAACAAAACTCTAGAAATCAAAATTTAATGAATACATCAAACCAAATAAGTAAACAATGTACCTAAACCATGGTACCTATACCATAGTATCTATAGCATGGTACCTATATCATAGTACCTAATACATAGTACCTGCAAATTAAAAAGACATTATTAGAATTTTAATGTAGAAAAAAAAAACCCACACGATTTTAGTGAAAATGCTAAACTTCCTAGACAAATAAACGAATCTGCACAACACCATAGAAGAGGACGATGGAAGATTCATACAATTGAACTTTTGTGTTTAAAATGAAAAACAGTTGAAAATATATTAAGTAATAATTGCACACCCATAACTCAACATTTAAAATTTGTTATTGTCCATCATTACATAAGGGCAATGTTGGAAAAATAGAATCAATAAAACCACCCAAAAAAATAAACACTGACGTGGATAATATATATTGACATGGATGTATAGTCAAATGACTATAATCAATATTTAATCTTGCATAAGACATTTCTCTAACTATAATCTTAACCAAGGATTAAAATCACATTTTCTACATATCAACATAATTAAATTTTATTTCTAAAGTATATTCATTTAGTGTTAGAAACATTACATTTGGTATATTTATATTTATGGTTAAACTTTGTATCATATACTTCTATTTTTAGTTTGTACCATTTTTAATTGGCAACCCTTTTTTAATTTGTACCAATTTTCTTTTTAGTTTTAATTTGTACCCATATATTAATTTCATTTGTACCCATATTTTTTTTATTTTTATTTATACTCATAATTTATTTATAATGTACCCATTTTCTTTATAAATGTACCACTTTATTATATGTAAAATGTACTCTTTTTTTTTTTGTAAATATACCTTTTTTTTTATGTAAAATGTACCCATTTTTTAATGTGAAATCTATTTATTTTTTATTTATAATGTATACATATTTATTATAAAAGTACCCTTTTTCAATTTTTTGAACACTATGAGTACATTTGTTTGATAATTATTATTTCAAAGTTACATTGTTACCTATTTTTATATATTTATGCAATCAAAATTTTTGAGTATTTTCTTTTTTATTGTAATCGTTTTTAATTTATATGCCATATAATATGGGATATATTAATAGCAATAATGAGATGTACAAAGTCAAGGGACTTTGACCAAAAATTGAATACCATTAAGGTTTTAATCAAATAATGTTAGTGGCTAGGGACCGGATCTAAAGTCTCCTAATAATTTATAACTGAAATAATGACGTTCATTAAAAGCTAGGGACCTTGATCAAAAATTAAAAAGAAATAAGGTTTTAATCAATTCAATAGAAGAAAGAGGGATGTGAACCTAATTTCTCTTAAAAAGAATTATTCAATATGGACGGTAAATGATTCAGCCATTTACAAGTTCTAATTTAGGATCACAATTTACTGAATCGTTGTATTAACTATTAAGTGGTGCTCTAATGTAATTTTTAGGAATTTCTGAGGAGGCATATGTTAACACACACCCAAATGAACCCAATTTAGGCTCCACTGCTAAAAACTATTGCAAAATGCGCAGTAGGATTGAACTGCTAAAGCCTATTGCGAAATGAACCACACAGTAAACCATCCAAATGGATGCCATATATGCATATACAAACAGTGTTTTGAAAGGACAAGGGAGCTAACAGTGTCTTTTTATATGACTCGAAGTTCTGGCTGCAAATTGCATGCAATCATTTTCTTGGCGGTGATTAGCTTGTACAGCTATTTAACTCTCAGTAACTCTCTCCAAATGGTAAAGGCCAAGAGAGTGAGGTGTCCGGCTCGATGTGGACTGAGCAATTAGATGAATGATCAGTAGACAAAGAAATTGTTGGATGCCACAATCTCCATAAGAGTGTTGGAACTCTTTGTCAGTTTAAAAATATTTGTGGAGGCCTTGAGTAGGCATTAGGCTCTTTTAAATGAGTTAAATGTTAGTGTCAGGCGTGCTACCGTTGGCTCAGATCAAAATAAAGATTGTAATATGGTACTGTTAGATTGTAAACTTACGCCACAACTAAGCCGAGCTTCTTAACCAAAGCATTGTGCCATAGAAGGGTTAAATCTGTGTTCAATTCTTTTCTGTGCCTTGTTGTTAAGGACTTTATATGTACGTTTTTTGTTATACCAAGTGATACCCACAAACTGATGAAATATTGGTAATGGTTGCACTGCAGCAAGTCAAACTCCTTTGCTCAACAAAAACAAAAGTTTATAATATAATAATGTTAGCATATGAACTTGAGAAACAACGGCCGAGAAGGTGCAGTGAAAGTGAAAGAAAGAGGAAAAGAAGAAGGAAATGAAACAAAAGACTATCCAACAGATTTTAAGAATGACTTCTTGGCAATGATTACAGCTATTCACATATTCAACTATGAAAATGTATAAAATATGATATGATTATATATGCAAGTAACGTTTGACCAAAAAAACAAAAAAAAAAAAAAAAAAAAATATATATATATATATATATATATATATATATATGCAAGTAACGACCCCAAATCTTATTGGAGCTAATTAACTAATGTAATAAAATAGCTAGTCTTATTAGACATTTGGATTCCTTAGCAAGTGGAACTTTTTTTTTAGTTTAGAAGTCATGTAGTAATTAAATAGTTGTGATTAATATCTTAAGATTTTTTTTTTCATCAATGGTAATCTATACAATTGTAACAGTCATTATTTGTTAATAATTTGTGCTTTGGCAAGTTTGCTGCAGGATGGATTGAGGGGAGAGGCTTCTTTCGGATAGTTTGTATGAAATATTAGAGAGAGATATAATTGTTTTGTATAAAATAATTAAAAAAATTGAAATTGACACGTGGACTTTTTAGTCACAATTAAGTTATTAACTAGAAGGACAAGGATTGTCTGCCCTCTTTGTTCACGTGCCCTCTCATGCCCTTCTGTTTGTGTAGTCATGGTTAAGCCACGTTAACATTTTATATTACTATTTATTTTTATCTTATTATCTCTATGACGTGGCTTAACCGTGACCACACAAAACAGAAAGGCACGGGAACAAGGAGGGCAGACAATCTTTGTCCTAACTAGAATGACCCTATTAATTTGGCAAGACCCACATCCGTTCTATGCAGTTCAACCACCACTAATGGAGTATTAAGTTTAATTTAATGCCACTTAATTGTGGGGGAAGGGGTCGGGAGGAGACCGATGTTTTTACACTTGGATTTATTCATTGATTATTTCTAGTGGTGCATGTATAGTTGTAGATGGGGCAAGTGTAAGGTTGCAGAATAAAACTTGAATCATTTGAATGGAGGGAAAAACAAATTTCTGCTAAAATTTGTCCATATCAACGATCACACAAGAAACATATTTAGTTAGCTTACTAGAAAGTGATGTCCGTGCATTGTTGTAGGATTAGAAATTGTGTGAATAATTATATTTGAAAGATTATCAATGTCAAATTTAGTGTAATCAGCAGATCTCTAACTTTCCAATAGTATATAAATTTGAACTAATAAAATGTATCTCTAAGTTTCTAGAAGTGTTCAAATTGAAACTAATAGTTTGTTTTATTTTTTGTTTTGTATACTGGTACTTTAAAAACCATAAGTAACGGATCTTTCTTCTCTATATTGATAATTTAAGATTCGCTATTAAAAAACGAATTCATAAGTTAGGTTTCAAAGTGTACTATAACATTGATTAATCTAAACACTACCTCAGCAAACCAAACAATTTTATTTCCTCCATAAATGTCCTTGTTTAATTACTTTACAAAGTTAATTTGTTTCAAAAGATTGAAAGCAAGTGGTTTTCAACTTTGAAATCCCACAGCATGAATAGATAAAGGAATAGTTTCTCCATTATATTCAACACCACTATAAACCACACCATGACATCCTCTTGCTGGGAACAAAAAGAAATTTATATAAACAATCAGAAACAATAGAATTGTTAATGTAAAATTGCATGATATAATGGTTAAAAACTATGTAAACCATCTAGACATCAAGAAATAAAAAGTATATGAAAACTGAGGACTTATTTGAGTTGAGAGTTCACATAATGCTTTTAAGAGTGGTTGAGTTTTGTTGGATTGAGATATCTCCTTTCTGCACAAAGGAGTTTCAGATGCATGTTAAGATTATTAGCCTAACTTTGATTTACAATTATTTGAGAATTGTGATTTATACATAAATAAATACACACACACACACACAAAGAATAAGAGAAGACAGAAAATGGGGAAACTGTGTGTACACTAAGATGCATGTCAAATATGATTGACAAAGAAGATGCTCTTTTATTTTTCAGGAATTTCAAGGAGGCAAATATATGGGGGTGGACCATATAATACACCCAAATGGATCAATTTTTAGGCTCCACTGCTAAAAACTCTTGCAAAATGCGCATAAGGATTAAACTGCTAAACACCATTGCGAAATGAACCATATATACATATATAAACAATGTTTTGAAAGGACAAGGGAGCTAACGCTTTTTATATGACCTGGACTTGGAGTTCTGGCCGCAAATTGCATACGATGACTTTCTTGGCGGTGATTAGCTAGTACAGCTATTAAACTCTAACAGTCTCCTGTCTTCAAATGGTAAAGACCAAGAGAGTCAGGTGTTCCAGCTGAAAGTGGCCTGAGGTAGTAGATGAATGATCAGGTGACAAAGAAATTGTTGGATGCAACAATTCTCTATGAGAGTATTGGAGTTCTTTGTCAGTTTAAAAAGGGAAAGAAAGGAAAAGAGGAAGGAAATGAACATGAAAAGACAAAGACTATGCAACAGATTATAACAATGACTTATTAGCAGTGATTACAGCTATTCACCTATTCATGGTATCAATCCGTATAAACTATGATATGATTATATATGCAAGTAACGACCCCAAATCTAATTGGAGCAAATTAACTAATGTAATAAAATAATCTTATTAGACATTGGATTCCTTAGCAAGTGGAACGTTTTTTTTAGTTGAGAAGTCAAGTAGTAATTAACTAGTTGTGATTATATCTTAAGATTTTTTTTCCATCAATTGTAATCTATATTCTTGTAACACTCATCAATCTGTCATGGTGGTATCTACCGTTATGGTGCTGCATTGGTTCAAATAAAAAATGACAGTTGTTCTGTTGCTGGACCGATTATACTGAAACACTGAAGCCAATTCAACATTTCCTCAGTCCTCAAAGTCGTCCATATAATTAATATAATAATCTTTCTTCACTGCCGGGCGGGAAGGTGCGGGGAAAGAGAGGAAAAGAACAAAGATATGAACACGAAAGGATAAAGACTATCCAAAATATTATTGGTAGTGATTCTTATCAATAATGCATTATTTTATGTTGAAATTCAGAAGCATTTGAGAAGTAGAATGCCAACAACCGCATAATAAACAAAAGGGATTAGAGAACAGACCCAAATATGAAAGGATATAAAAATAATTATTCAAGATGTGCGGTGATGAGTCGATATTATTCTATATTTTTACCTAATCTCAATTAGTATTATTAGTTATTTTGAGAGAATTTTGATACTTTGCTCTATATTTTAATTGTAAGACATGTGCATCTACTTTGGGCGAAAAAAGATGAAATGAAGGAATTTTGAAGTAATTCCAATTGGAGTGGATTCGTAGGTCTTTAAAGATGATTGTGTCAAGTGGGGCGTTGGTTGAGTGTAATAAATTAATTTTTCTAAATTTTGTAATAGATTAATTGAAGTACATTCGTGAGTCTTTGCTCAGGCCAAGAGAGTCAGGTGTTCCGCTGAATGTGGCTTGAGCAAATAGATCTTGAGTGTAATAAATTAATTTTTCTAAATTTTGTAATAGATTAATTGAAGTACATTCGTGAGTCTTTGCTCAGGCCAAGAGAGTCAGGTGTCCGGCTGAATGTGGCTTGAGCAATTAGAAGAATGATCAGTAGACAAAGAAATTGTTGGATGCCACAATATCCATGAGAGTGTTGGAACTCTTTGTCAGTTTAAAAGTACTTTTGGAGGCCTTTTGTAGGCATTAGGCTCTTTTAAATGAGTTGGTTGTTAGTGTCAGGTGTGCCATTGTTGGTTCAGAACAAAAGAAAGATGGTAAGCTGTTATTGTTAGATTGTAAATTTACCCCACAACTAAACTCAGCTTCTTAACCAAAGGACTGTGCCAAAGAAGGGTTAAATCTATGTTAAATTCTTTTTTATGCCTTCTTGTTAAGGAACTTTATATATAAATTTTTTGTTATATCAAGTGATAACTACAAACCGATTGAATATTGGTAATGGTTGCACAACAGCGTGTCAAGCTCCAACAAAAACAAAAGTCTATCTTCTACATATAAAGCCAATAATAAAGTGAATACTGTTTTTTGGTGTCACAACCTACAACAAAAATAATTTAACAAAAATGCCCCTCAAACAAAAAACTTCAAAAGCAACTCAAAATAATGCATCAAATGTGGTAGGGGTATTTTCATCATTTTAAAAGTATTTTTTTAATAATTATTTTTTTGTACTGTTTTTTTTAATTAGTACCTCACAATAGGCTAGCAATAATGTGATTCAATCAACTGTTCATTTAATATTATTTTGGGAACTTTAACGAAAAGCTCCCGGTACTGTTTACTTTAACGAAAAATCACATTTTTACTCTAAAAAATCAATCATGGTACTATTCACTTACAACACTTTTTTTTCATTTTCGTTAAAAATCAAAGTTTTCAAGCCATTTTCATTAGTCTTTCTTATTATTTTCTTTATTTTTAAACATGTTCAAAACATCTTAAGAAGCGTGTAATGCCGGTTATAAAAAAAGTTTTCCGCACGTGGATAATAAGTGATTAAATTAGTTGTCAAATGATTTTTTTTTTTTAATAAACGATATTATCTACACGAATGGGGAGGAGGGTGGGCTTAGCCTCACAATGGACTAGCAATAATGTGATTCAATAAGTTGTTTATTAAATATTATTTTCTTTATTCTTAATGTAAATTTTATAAAGACCGATTTTATTATGTGGATTCAGCTGCTTTAATTGGTTTATGAGGGATTTCTTCTAGTATGATCTAAAATTATTCATTTACTTAAATATTTGACTATCATTTTGTCATATAAATAGGGACAAAACTTTGAGTCCACTAAACCAAGTCTTTAACCCACTTGGTTGTTGTCGTATTAAAATTATATGCACCTTATGACAGAGAAAATCTTCTCATACCTAGATATTTTTATTAGCCAAATTAAATTGGGCGAAAAGTCGGGCGTACTAGAACGCTTGAATTAGTCCATTTTGGTGGCATGCGGAATATAATCGCCCGAGTGGGCCAAGTTCTGGTTGGAGCTAAGAACGAATATCTACGTAATTGATTAGTAATAAAATATGTGTAATAATTGCAAAACTTGCATAATTAATTTAGGAGTTGGGACGTATCCATCAAGAAATCAATCGTACTTGAAAATATACATATATGTATGTATAGTAGGGTTTGTGTGTCTCTTTTTTGACCATGGCTTTTCTGGGAAGAACAAGAGTCTGGTAGCTCAGACCCAAAGCCAAAGCCATGGGGAAGGACGGGAAATGAAAGAAGATAAATTCTAAGGATACTCTCTTAATAGTGAGATGCTTTATAGACTTTCTGCCGCCTCGTGTTTTTTGCACAATATTTTATAATGTTGACACGAAAATTGACGTTAAATTATAAAGTGACAGAGAGTTCATAAAGAATTATTTTAAAAAAGTCTCCTTAACATTTTTCACGAAAGAAATATGATCTGATGAAACCTTTTGGTTTTGCTTTTGTGGGAAATAAAAGTCAAAGTTATGAGAGCTTTGATATTATATGTTTTTCAAATTTCTAGAAATAAGGATGAACCCTAGAGGAGAGGAGAGGGTTCAAGTAATCATATATACCTTTTGTCACATTTCTTTGATCAAATCAAAATTTTAAAGTGTATGTAATAATGTTTGCAACATTTTATATATACAACAATGTTAAGATTATTTGATGCATTATTTTGGAATGAACATTGTTAAAACTAAAATACCCCTACATTATTTGATGCATGATTTTGGTCACAAGCTTCAACAAACAAATTTGGACCAAAATGCCCCTCAAACAAAAAACTTCAAAGACAACCCAAAATAATGCATCAAACGTGGCATGGATATTTTCGTTATTTTAACAGTGTTTTTTTAATAATTAATTTTTTTTGTACTATTTTTTTTTAATTAGTACCTCACAATAGGTTCGCAATAATATGATTCAATCAGTTGTTCATTAAATATTATTTTCTCTATTTTTCAACACGTTCAAAACATATTAAGAGGCGTGTAATGCTGGTTATAAAAAAGGTATCTCTGTCACATCTCAGTCTCGGCTTCGTTGTAGCACGATATTGTCCGCTTTGAGCCACGCCCTCACGGTTTTGTTTCTAGGAACTCACGAGAGAACTTCCCAGTGGGTCACCCATCCTAGGACTGCTCTCGCCCGAACTTGCTTAACTTCGGAGTTCCGATGGAACTCGAAGCTAGTGAGTTCCCAAAAGGCCTCGTGCTATAGGGAGGGGAGTATGTACATATAAGGCACATCACCCCCTCTCCGTTGGTAGATGTGGGATCTCACAATCCACCCTACTTAAGGGGAACCCGGCGTCCTCGCCGGCACATCCACACCGAACGGCAGAGTGGCTCTGATAATTTCGCACGTGGATAATAATGTGATTAAATTAGTTATCAAATGATTTTTTTTTAACAAACGATATTATCTACACTAACGGGGAGGGGGTGGGCTTAGCCTCACAATAAGCTAGCAATAATGTGATTCAATCAATTGTTTATTAAATATTATTTTCTCTATTCTTAATGTAAATTCTATAGAGACCGATTTTATTATGTGAATTCAGCTGCTTCATTTGGTTTATAATGAGTTTCTTCTAGCATGATCTAAGATTATTCATTTAATTAAATGTTTGACTTTCCTTTTGTCAATTTACGCATATAAATACATTTAAAACGTGTAAGTTGCGCGTAGCACGCCAATGATTCAAAAAAATATTCAAACAAAGAGGTGAATAGTGCTTTTGGTGTCACCACGCTTCAACAAAATATTCAAACAAAATTGCCCCTCAAACAAAAAACTTCAAAGGCATCTCAAAATAATGCAGGAGCATTTTCATCATTTTAACATTAATTTTTTTGTGGTTTTTTTTAAATTAGTGCCTCATAATAGGCTAGCAATAATGTGATTCAACCAGTTCTTTATTTAAAAAACACGTTCAGAACATCTTAAGAGGCGTGTAATGCCGAATATAAAAAAAGTCTTTCGCACGCTGATAGGAGCATATTTATGCGACTTAGTTAACTTGTTTCTTGGCATTTATGTTGTTAGTTCGTAGTTATTTTAGTATTTTAAGCTATTTTCGTGTGTTTGTAGGTCCAAAGGGTTAATGTGGCAAAGAAGTGCATTTTGGAGCATTTTGGAGCATTTTTGGACATGGAATGGATGGCATATGCTTGGAGCAAAAGGAATGGACGAAATTTGAAGTTTGTGCATCATCATCTCCCTATAAATAACCATTTTAGCACACTCATTTCACCCAACACATCCATTCACCTACCATTACATCCACTCATTTCACCCAACACATCCATTCACCTACCACTACATCCACTCATTTCACCCACCACATCCACTCATTTCAACCACCCAACACATTCACCTACCACTACATCCACTCATTTCATTTCAACCAACACATCCATTCACCTACCACTACATCCACTCATTTCAACCATCCAACACATTCACCTACCACTACATCCACTCATTACCACCACCCATTACATCATCTCTCTAGCCTAT